CTTAAAAATATATATATTTAAAAAATAATAATAAAAAAATAAACTTGAGGCTTGCTAGTCACTTAAGACTAATCAAATATAAAAGTAAAGACAAACCATACTGATGTAAGATCTGAATATTTAGCAGTTCTCTGAGTGAAATTATCACTTAAAATGTAAATGATATCTGGGGCGCCTGAATGGTTCAGTCGGTTAAGTATCTGACGCTCGATTTCGGCTCAGGTCATGATCTCAGGGGTGTGGGATTGAACCCAAGTCGGGCTCCACACTGAGTGTGGAGTCTGCTTGTCTCCCTCTCCCTCTGCTCACTCTCCCTGTCTCTCAAATAAATAAATAAATCTTTTTAAAAAATGTCAATGATAGCAACAGGTGTCATAAAGTATTGATAAAATAATTTTAGTTACTGATCCATTGAATACATCTGTACCAGAGCAGCCAATAAGTTTATCCTCAGGACATCCTCTCTTCCGTGTCTCTTACTCCATTATTTTTAACAAGAAAGGCTGTAAACCGTTGGCCCAAATGACTATGTGGCTAAGTGGTTTATCAATAAAACCTGGTTTAGTCAGATAGTGTGCCACTTACTTTTCTCTAGGAAAAACATGCACAGTGCATTATACAATTGTCTTGGATTTTAGTTCAAATGTTCCATAATTTTTACTATGCGTTGTTTTTTTTTAAAGAATTTTAAGTAGAAAACTGGGTTTTAAAATCGCAGAGTGTGCATCATACATTTGCTGTATTAATACCAGATTATAAAAATTGGGTGCAGTGTCAGTTTAAGTGCCAGCTTCATAGAGACCAGGTACATGGTAAATGATAAATATTAGTTGCTTGGTTTTCTTCAAATCCAAGATGCCATCAGTTATAAGACATTAAAAAATAAATTAGGACTGGCAATTATAATTGTAAGATGCCATCAAAGGTAAGATGAACTCTACTTCAGAGTTTCCAAAATGTAAAATATCTGTATCTTGAGGTCAATGAAAGATGATATCATTATTAGTTATTAAGAAATACTTATTGAGGGACTTCTATTGTCTGTAGTTTGAGCATTGGGATTTCTTAGGTATATAATGGGACTATACATAGTCCCTGACCTTGGGGGATTTAAAGACCAGGTAAGGGGCACCTGGATGGCTCAGTCGGTTAAGTATGTGACCCTTGATTTTGGCGCAAGTCATGATCTCAGGGTCATGAGATGGAGCCCAATGTTGGGCTCCACACTGGAGCCTGCTTAAGATTCTCTCTCTCTCCCTCTCCCTCTGCCCTTCTCCTGCCGCTCTCTCTCAATAAATAAATTAATTAATTAAATTAAAAAATAAAAAAATAAAGTCCAGTTAAAAAAAGAAAACACATGTGAAAAATTAACTCGAATAAGTATACAGCAAGTCACAGCCTTTGAGCCGTACGTAGCACATGTTCACTCACAACATGAAAAAGTTACATAAAATATATTACAAAAGCATATAAGCATGGCTAAAGTTTAATTTCTAAAAAGTAATTCTTCCTCCCCTAAAAAATGATAGTTTTGGGGCGCGTGGGTGGCTCAGTTGGTTGGGTAACTGACTCTTGATTTCAGTTCAGGTCATGATCTCAGTGTTATGAGATCGGGCCCCACACTGGGCTCTGTGCTGGGCATGGAGCCTGCTTGGGATTCTCTCTCTCTATCCCTCCCCATCTCCCTCTCTAAAAAAAAGAAAAAGAAAAAAAAATAACAGCTTTAATTTGGGGGATTAGTCAGAAAAGAGAGAATCATGGTATATTTACATTCAAATGCCATAGGCTTTGTGTTATTTTATTTTTGTTTAACATTCAAAGTTAATGTTGAACATTAACCATCTCCTTCAAGTATTGCTGGGCACATACTAATTACAAATACTAACTCTTATATAGAGCTCTACTGAACACATCATAAATACTGGAGAAAGAAACAAAGGCAAGGAATTGCAAGACTTGGTTCAGAAAATTTCAAATAAATTGCTTCTGTGGCCCATGTTCAATCTTCAGTCTTCCTGGACTCTCTCACAAACTAATTAGGAAAAGAGATCAACAAAAGCATCCTGCCCAAAAGTAACATTCAATACAGTCATGGCTTACAATAAGCAAAGAATTAATTGCTTATTAAGAATGCTAAGGGGCGCCTGGGTGGCTCAGTGAGTTAAACATCTGCCTTCTGCTCAGGTCATTATCTTAGGGTCCTGGGATTGAGCCTGCTTAGGGCTCCCTGCTCAGCAGGGAGTCTGCTTCTCCCTCCCCCCACTTTCGTGCTCTCTCTCAAAACAGATAAATTAAATCTTAAAAAAAGAAAAAAGAATGTTAAAAAGTACAAACTGCATCATCAAAATTTTATTGGGAAATATGGGTGAGGGCATATGAATTTCTTTGCAGTCGGTAACTATTACTTCTGACCAAACAGTATTTTTCTAAGAAAACATTGTTTGGGTTAAGACTTAAAATACCTAAGTTATGGGGTGCCTGGATGGATCAGTGGGTTAAGTGTTTGACTCAGGTCATGATCTCAGGGTCCTGAGATTGAGAATCACGTTATTGGGCTTTGTGCTCAGCAGGGAATCTGCTTCTCTCCCTCTGCCTCTGCCTCTGCCCCTCGCCCTGCTCAGGAGCACATGCACTCTCTCTAAAATAAATAAATAAATCTTTAAAAAAAATACCTAAGTTATTTCTCAGAAGAAAACAGAGTTTGGGACCCTGGGAACAATGAGGCCAGAAGCTACCAAATATCACTTTTACACAGATTCAATTCAAAACTATATCTACTTGGAAATAGGCAGTTGTATGCTGCTAATATAGATTTCCTTTGTGTTCTAGCTTTCAAAAAAGTAATTCTTGTCTTAAATGAAGAAGTTATGCAGGGCAAGAATTTAAATTACCTTTTCCAGTGCCAACATGAATAGGATAGAGCATTCCAAAAGAGAGAGTCAGAGATCACTATTAAACTAAAGGAAAAGACAACACTGAACATCATTTAATTCAAGGGTCATCTTCTGTGATATCTATATATGAGGTGTTGTACCAACTGTGGGGAGAATCACAAAGAAATAAAAATGTATCCCTGTCCAATCTAATCTAATAGCAAAGGCAAGAAATTAACTTGAATTCAAGTATACAGTAAAATATAATCAGCATTACAGTAGAGTTACAAGCAAAATGCGATCCTACACGTCACTTCTATTGTTGATATCTTGGAGCTTTATAGAAGAGTTGTCATTTTAAACAGGCCTTAAAGAATGAGTAGGACTTTAATAACTGGAGTTGAGGAGAAAAAAGCATTCTGGGCTAAGGGAAAAGCATGGAGGAAGAGAAAGACATGGAATGTTTACGGGGTTGTGGGAAGTCCTGCAATTTGTGCCCCATCAGGACATGCACATGGGAGATAAAACAGAAGATGATACACAGCAAGACTGGGAAGACTCTTCAAACCCAAGCCAAAGGGCTGGTCCTCAGAAAGGAGGTTTAAAGTATCTGGTTTCCTGTGATCAAGATTGTGCCTTAGGAAGACTAACTAGACGACAATGTCCAGGATAGACTGGAGGAGAAGAGATCACTTAGGAAGCTACTGTAATCACCTTAGCAAAAGGTTCTGGAAGAAAAAGGTTCAAGTATGAAAAACTTTCTGAAGGAGAAATGATAGGATTGAATGTTAATCAGCTGGATAGGATTAACCTGATGTTTGCAGCTTGCGTAACCCAGAGGATAGGCAGAAAATATATAATCAGTGTTGTGGGAGCCATAGGAATCCTTGACCCTGAACCGTATATTATTAAAGGGGAAGGAAAAGTAGTGGTAAATTTTAGAGTTTGCAGGTTTTATGGGATGTTGTTGTCTGAGCAGAAGGTTCAGAATAGAAAACCATTCAAGATGCCTTCCAGCTCTCTTTTGCCTTACTGCCCATAGAATAGCTGTTTCTGAACTGCCCTTGGCCTTATTCCATTGGCTTACCTCCATTAAATAAATATTGAGTGAATGTGTACTGAGTGCCAGGGACTGTTCTAGACAGTTGGGGCAAATCAGTTAACAAAACAGAAAAAAATTCTTGCCTTCAAGGAACTTGCATTTCAGTTAGAAGAGACAGACAATAAATAATACACATAATCAAATAAATGAAGTATATTATGTGTTAAAAGTAAAAAATGGTATAAAAAAGAGAGAGAAGACTAAGAAGTGTGAGGAGTGGAGATCCTGGGGCAGGGGTAGGGGTAGAGTTTACACTGAGAGATGGAGCAAGTCACAGCCTTTGAATCGTAGCACAATGTTAATATCTAAGGACACTGTTGGAACATTGTTCACCACATTTCCCGGCTTCCTCTTAATGAAAGCATAGGAGAGGGTCATTAAGTTTCTATGGACTCCCTGACTTCCCACCACCATCACTCACCTAACTGATCACATTTCTCTCTTGGCACTAATGGCCAGAAAGCTGAAAGCTAAATTTGTGATCTTCTTCTAAAACATGGATGGAGCCTCATGGCATTTTTTTATATTTGTTTTCATCTTACTTTCCAAACTTCTGTTTTCCTACTGCCTTGATTTCTTCACATACTTTTATCCGATTGTGTATTTTTGTCAGCTAAAATCCAACTCAGATCTCTTGAAGTATAAAGAAATATGCAAAAATATACTGCTCAAGTTATCTTTTTTTATGATCTTGACCTCTTTTTGACACCAAAATTAGTGGCTTTAATTAAGGTCAAACCTGTTAAAATAATATATTTAAATACTTAGCCTACATCTCATCCCATGAGAGGTATATTTGCCTTCCCTACTGGTCACAGACACTTTGGGTGCTTACATGAAATTCACACAGCCGGTGCCAGCAGGTGGAGCGATCCAGACGAAGCTGAGGTTGGTTGTAGGCAGATGACTCACATGAGAGGCCACCACACTGCACATAAACTGATTACCAAACTGGTGGTCAGACATGATCCCTGAGAGACAGAAAGAAAGAGAAGCTGTCATAAAAACAACAAAACACGGTCTTTCTTATCGTGGCATTAACAATATTTTCTGGACATTTTTCTTGTATGTTAAGATTCATCATGCTGTTTGGCCACCCTGTAAGTTATGCAATTTTCCGTGTCCTGTTGTTAGAAGGGTATTAATAATTTAAAACATTTTTGTTAAGGGCTAATCTATTAATTTCATTGCTATAGTAGTTGTTTTCCTTTGATTTTGTTGATTGGTCTTTGTCCATCACCAAAGACCACCAGGACCATACCTACAGTATAACGAGGCTGGATTTACTGCAAGTCTTCACAGCAAACGAGACCAAATATTATTGGGAACTGGGAAGTATCTCAGTAAGAGGACGTTAGCAAAGGTTTGTTAAACTATTTGGGCTTGTGTTAGGTTATTTTAGAGAACAGGATGATCAAGCTGTCCTGAGAGTTTCCTGATTTTAGTACTACAAGTCCTGCATCCTGGGACCCCCCAATCCTGCTGGGGAGGTTGCAGGGGTAGGTGGTTTTGTTTCTGGATTTGGTGCTATCAGAAAGTGGGGGCAATTTTATCAGAGAGTACCTTACTAAATTGTATATGGGAGACATGAGGAATGACATAAGCTAAAGTTGTGATCGATAAAAGTCATGTTAGCATGGAGAGGGGGATCGTCATTTTTGTGATTTGCACCATGTTCTTGCTTTTGTCTGTGTTCAGGTATGATTACAAAGCGGCCTTGGTTTTGGCTCAAGCCATCAGTTTCAAGGTGGCCTTGTCTGATGTTGATGTTCTGTAAAACTGTTTATATTCCACATGAGAATACCATAGCCTAGCTGTAAGTGCCAGGTCAGCTCCCAGCTGAGCTACCCGGAGATGCTTTTTTTTCTTTTTTAAGAAGATGATTCTCTTAGGTTGACCTCCAATATAAAATATTAATAAATAACTCAACAATAAGAAAATAACTCCATTTTTTAAAATAATAGGCAAAAGACCTGAAAAGACATCTCACCAAAAAATATACAGATGGCAAGTAAGTATATGAAAAAGATGTTCAACCTCATAGACCATTAGAATATTGCAAATTAAAACAACAATGAAATGCCACTTTGCAACTATTATAGCCACAGTGCAAAACACTGACACACCAAATACTGGTGAGGATGTGGAACAATAAGCACTCTTATTCATTGCTGATGAGAATACAAAATGGTACAGCCACTTTGAAAGACAGTTTGGCATTTTCTTACAGAAATAAACATACTCTTACTGTATGATCCAGCAATCATGCTCCATAGTATTTACCCAAATAAATTAAAGATTTCTGTCCACACAAAACCCTGCACATGGATGTATATAGCAGTCTTATTCATAATTGTCAAAGCTTGGAAGCAACCAAGATATCCTTCACTAAGTGAACGGAATGGAACTGTGGTCCATCCAAACAATGGAGAATCTATTCAGGACCAAAAGGCCATGAGCTACCAAATTATGACAAGACATGGATAAATAAATGCATTTGACTAAATGAAAGAAGCCAATCTGAAAAGGCTACATACTGCATGATTCCAACCATAGGACATTCTGGAAAAGGCAAAACTATGGAGACAGTAAAAACATCCCCAGTTGCCAGGGGTTAGGAGGGAGGCAAGGATGAATAGGCAGGACATAAAGGATTTTTTAGGGCAGTGAAATGATTCTGTTTAATACTACGATAGTGGACACATGTCATTATATATTTGTTAAAACACACAGAATGTACAACATTAAGAGTGAATCCTAATGTAAACTAGGGACTTTGAGTGATAATGATGTGTCAGGATAGGTTAATCTGTTGTAAAAAATGTATCACTGTATCACTGTAATGCAGGAGGCAGATAATAGTGGGGAGTCGTGGGGGGAGGTGGGGGCATACGGGAAATGTCTATACTTTCCATTCAGTTTTGCTGTGACCTAAAAGTGCTCTAAAAACAGTTTATTAATAACAATATTAATAAAAACATTGCCAGGAATGAGCAATTAAATAAAAAATTCACTTCCTGGCTTTGTGAACTTAGATAAATGACTTACTCTGAGACCCAGTCTTCTTGTCTATAAAATGGAAATACCATGTCCCCTCCATCCCAAAGTTATTGTGAGAATTAAATGATCCAATACATAGGAGTACAGTTCCCCCCATGTTTGGATAGGTGCCCTTTCTACATGTCATCATAACAGTTCATACATGCTTCATCATAGCACTTGACCTGTGAGGGACTAGGTCTTTAATTTTTATATTCTAAGCAACTATCACAATGCCTGACACATCACAGATACTCAAGAAATGTTTTTTCTGAATCAATACAAGAATGATTTAACTAAAAAAATTAAAAGCAATAGAAAAGGTATCACATATGTTACATTACCTAGTGAAACAGAATCTTCTAGAATAAAAGAATAGGTCATACTGGACAAAGAAACAGAAAAACAGGTCTGTATTTTGACATAGCCTAACGATGCCCTTTTTCTCATCCAAGTTTTTATTTTTTTAAGCTACGTCTTCAGACAAAATTCATCAAGCCAGAGAAACCACAAGGTTAGGGAGGAGAAGAGACTACCCAGGAAATCACAGAGTGCTGCAGGAGACTCACAAGCCACGACTCAGGAACTGCCACTCTGCTCTGGTTGGGCATAAAGCAGAAATCCTGTGTGTGTATGTGGAAAATGACACATCTGCAGGAGTCAGCCTGACCAAAAAGGAAAACAAAAGTTCCAGCCACTATCATGTGGGAAGGGAAATGAATCAAACAAAATAAGGCTTCAGGGTTTCACAGCCTTGGTGACAGGATTCACATTCAAATATCTCCCGATTCTTCAAAACCCCTCCTAGAAAGTGAGTCAATGTCTGGGCTGCATATTACTTCACAATATTTTATATATAAAAAAAAAAGCTATATTGTTGTAATTAGGACATGCCCCACTCTAGGTAAATTTGCCACATAACAACATTCTTGCAATCCAACCGTCCGGCACGGTAGTTGCCAACAAGCCTGCACAGTGGCATCATCTCAAGAGACGGGATAAATATTGGTTCCTAGAGATTCTGAGTTAACTGGTTTGGGATAAAGCCTGGGTACTGGGAGTTTCAGAAGCTCACCAAGCAATGCTAATATGTAGCCAAGAACATGCATTAAAAATTTGTCTTAGTAAGATGTTGTCCAGGCTTCAGGGCATAGAATAATACCCATATGGTACCAACAGAACAGTTTGAAAGTATGCAGAAGTGTCTTACACAAGGGCTCTAACAGTAATGCAAAATATTCAATCCTTTACCCACTACTCCTAGAACCATGTATTCTGAGGGCCTTATTATGTACCTTCAAATACTAGGAGTGCACAGTGGTCTTTGCTTTTTTAACAAAGAGCCCTGGCATATTATACGGCCATCACAGTTTCTTTTTTGTTTTTAACTGAAGTACAATTAACATACAGTGTTATATTAGTTTCAGGTGTACAGTATAATGATTCGATAATTCTATACATTACTCCATGCTCATCCCAAGTATACTTTCAATCCCCTTTATCTATTTCACTCATCCCCCCACCCACCTGCCCTCTGGCAACCACCAATTTGTCCTCTGTATTTAAGAATCTGGTTTTTCCCTCTCTTTTTTTGTTTGTTCATCTGTTTTCTTTCTTAAATTCCATATTTGAGAGGAATCGTATGGTAATTGTCTTTGTCTGACTTATTTCACTTAACATTATAACCTCTAAGTCCAGCCATATTGTTGCAAGCTGCAAGACCTCATTCTTTTTTTGCCGCTAACATTCTATCACATACATACAATATACAATATACAATATACAGCTTCTTTACCCATTCATCTATGGATGGACATTTGAGTTGCTTTCATATCTTGGTTACCACATTTTAATTGGCATTTTCTTTGAAAATATCTAAAAGTTGGCCAGAGTTGCAGCTATTAGTCATCTATTCATCTTAGTATCAACCAGCAGAAAACAACAGTATTTACAGAATACCTAGTTTGGCTGAAACATTCTGTTAGGCCCTGTGGAGGTGCACAGAAGAAACGTAGGACATGGTCCCTACCTGAAATAACTTGAGCTGGAAAGAGAAAACTGGAGCAAACTGACATTCTAAATAAAACACCTAGAAAATAAGTAAGTGCTAAATGAAGTTGTATTTGTGAAAAATTATGAAATAGGAGGGCGCCTGGGTGGCTCAGTTGGTTAAGCGACTGCCTTCGGCTCAGGTCATGATCCTGGAGTCCCGGGATCGAGTCCCGCATCGGGCTCCCTGCTCAGCGGGGAGTCTGCTTCTCCCTCTCCTGCTCCCCCCTCTTGTGCTCTCTCACTCTCTCTCTCTCAAATAAATAAATAAAATCTTTTTAAAAAATTATGCAATAGGAGAAGAGTCATTAATAGAAACAATTATAATAATGGTTATAGTAATACTTAATTGAGCACTTACTATGGCCTGGTGCCATTGTAAGCATTTCATGAACATTAACTTATTTGAGGCTCTTAACAACCTTGTGAGGAAGGAGATGTTAGTTTCTCCACTTTACCTGTGAGGACCCTGAGGCAATGGAGATAAAAGAACGTATTCCTGGTCATAGAGAAAGTGGAGAGTGTAGCCTGGATTCAAACCAATGCCCTTGCTATCCAGTCAAGAAATGGCGCTATTGAAGAGGGAGGCTGAGCTGAGTCTTGAGAGAAAAGCCAAGATTTCCCACATTTGTTTCTATTTACATGAGGCAGCAGAGTATAATCAAGAGACTGTCCCCTCACTCTGCCACACACAGCTGAATGACCTTGTCATGGTGCCCCCTCTCAAGCTTCAGTTCCGACATCTGTAAACTGCTGGTCCTTGATCACTAAGACGCCCTTCAGTTCCAAAGCTCTCTGAGTACAATCTAAATCAATAAAAGCAAGATGGGAGGACATCTCACAAAGGCAGACATAATGAGCAGAGGTGCAAATATAAAATGAG